CATTAATCTTGCCTGCCTGTGTCTGAAAAAAGAGAATTGGGACAGACACCACTGAATAAGTTACATTTTCAGCATCTCAGTGACACAACTGAATTGCTCGCTTATCCCAACCTTATCTTAGCTGGTGTGCAATCCTAATTAAAAGGCTGACGTAAGGAATACACACAGAGAAAAGCCTGGCACGGATGTTATGGATGAGATGATAAACTTTATGAGCTACCTCCCATGTAGCTTTTGTAGTTAACTGCTGGAGCTAGAACAGTTGCTCCTAAGTGCACCATTTCTCATTTCAGAGGGCTGAAAATGTTAAATAAAACAGAGTTGCCCTTTCCAATAGGTAGCAGCATTTTGCTGATCTAATTAATCTATGTAGCTCATTCTTTTACTGAGATAACTGAACTGGCAAATCAGGCTCCAGTCTGCTTTTCCTGATGCTCATTTTCAGGGTGAAAAAGGCTGTGGGTAGGATAAAACCCATGCCTCTACCTCATGAACAATGCTGTCGTGTAGTTAACACAGCAGAAATATTTGTTTGATTAGTTACATTTTCAGCTTTTAAAGGACAAGAAAAAACAAGCCATGGGTGGTCTGTAACCTCAGAAGAGCAAATATCCTGGGCTGTAAAATCATCCCAGCTCAGAATACTGGGTTGGACATAAAAAAAGCATTTATTGAATCCTAGGCCTGAGTCAGGAACAGAAGGTGCATTAAGAGCTTCCAAACTGCAGCCTACTGCCAATTCATTAAGTGTTCAGCATTATTTAATAAAAATGGCTTATGCATATACTTTAACTGAAATACTGTTTATTCATAAACATTTTTAACTACAGTATGTGTTGGGAGTTATTCACATACCAATTTAGAGACAGTTTCAAATTCTTCTTTCAAGTAACTGCATGCAATTCCCACTGCTGTCTGGCTCAACTAGGCTACAGGTCTGCAAGGAGAGCTTGTCCTGTATTTTGCAATTAAACCAAGGATCTCAGTTGGTTTATAGAGACCAGAACACACTGCTGTTAATGTCTTGTTAATGCATTAACTGCATAATGCATAAAACTGCTGTCATTGGTATAAAAGCATTAAAGTGATTCTAATGTCCTTATTGAACCCCAAATTTGAATAGATTTTTGAAAAAATTCCTCCTTTTTTTTGGGGATATTTTATCAGCAAATTCATTCTCCAGGTAAGCACAAAATAAAATGGTCAGGCTTTCCACAAAACTACAGGATGCTTCTTGAAAAAACATAATGACACTGCTGAATGCTCAAACAATGGCTGTGCAGATTTAATGCTTCAGCCCACAGTTCTTTGGGTTGCATTAACATGACAATACTCAGAGAGTGGTGAACAACCAAACTAATAGTATTTGCTAGTGGTCTCAGGCAACTGTTTGCAATGGGATGTTGCAATGGGACATCGCAGAGAGGGAACATCATCATTTTTAGCCCCATCCTGTGCAACTACAACCTACCCAAATACTTCTGAGATGCTTTCTCAGAACCTCTCTTATTTTCAATGCTGTCTAGTTAAAAGGTGCTTAAAGAAGCTTTTTCCCCTCAGAAGAGAGATTCCCGGAAGAGTCAAAGAAATTTCTTTTTCCACACTTTCCTGCTCATTCATAAGGCACAGGTTCCTCCACCTTCTCTATTTCCACAAGATAACACCCATGCAGAAACCACAGTAACTTCTGACCTGGGAATGCCATACCCCGAACACGTTTTTCTCTTTTCTGTGTAATTTCACAGCTGGAGATGGAGACGGCCAACAATCTTTGACCTGTTACTTCTCCAAGGGCCATATGTGTTCTGCATCTGGCAATGGGACAGCTGCTGCTTTAGAACTCTGCCCTTTCTGTCTCCCTTATCTTTCCTTCTGTCATCTGCTTATTTTCCATTTTTATGATATTCTTTTTTGTTAGATAATAATGCCATTAGGATTAGTACTGGCAAGCAGCCAGGACAAAATGGCAGCACTAATGACTTTTGTTTGACTTAGGGTCACTGTGAGATAATTTAGACCACAGACCTGGGGCCCCACTTTCCCATGACACTGAAAAAATCCACACAGAAAAGCAGAAACATTGAATGCTTCAAATCCAAACCTCCCTAAGTTCATCCTCTTGGGACAAAGCTTGCAGAAAAGAATGAGGACTATATTTCAACACCCGTAGATAGGACTTGAGATGGACTGAACTACTGACTATCTTTCCGCATAGTTTTTGTTTTCAGGAGCAGAATCCAGCAGAGAAAAATCCATCACTGTCACTTTCCACCCACTCAACTCAAGGAGTTCTCCCTCCAAGTCTTCCCTTGGAGGACACAGCCTTGCTTAATGCACACCCAAAGCACTTTCTTACCATGTTGCCAATGAAGCATTGTTAATGGGTGCCCACTATCCACAAATCTTTCAGAGAGGAAGGAATTGGTCTTCAGTCTGGCTTTTTTTTTTTCACAATTAATTTTCAGAATGGATTTTTTTTTTTTTAATTCTGAAAGCTGCCCCAAAACGTTTCTCCTCTGAACAGGGCAGCAGGACAATCAGTTAAGGGAATATGAAGCATCTCTTTCCCACTGTTCAAACTGGGGAAATGTATAATTCACCATAAATTATGAAAAGCAAACCAGAAAGTTAAAATTCACATGCTGTTAATGGAGAAACACAGCTAATGTTCTTTTGAGATACTCAACCCAAGACCAACTCTCATGAAGACATTTTATTTTACCATTGTTACAGTGCTGTGAGAAAGCAGGTAGAGAAGGGTCTGCTAAGAGCTATGTAAGGTAAGCATCCAGGACGCTCTGCATTTCAAATCAAACCTCCTTCCCCCATAGCCATGATCTGTAGCTCCTCCACTGAGAGTCCAGATCCCTACGGCCTCCACTATTAAGGCTTCCTATGAATCAAGGATTGATGTTTCAGATGGCAGGAAGCTGTGGTATGTGTACAGAGACACATGTGTACAGATCCTCCCTCTGTCCCAGCAAGAACAGAGTGGGAAGAGTGCAGAAAGCCAGGTGGGAAAGGAAGAAGAGGAAGAGCAGCAGGAGGGGGCCCATGCCACTGCCCAATCCTAGCAAAAGCTGATGTTTTTGTGTGAAGGAGTGTTTGGAACAAGATGAAAAACTCTGGATCACAGGTGGAAATGGGACATAGAGAGAGGAAGCCCTCAGAGCCAGGCAGAAGGTGCTCAAGGATGAGATGGTAGGGAGACATTCCCCACAGCTGCTCTCAGACAGCATTTCCAGGACAGACCATGGAGTGAGGAATCAGAAAAGAGCACTTCTGGCAGTGGGTGTGCAGTTGCATTTCCCCAACAAGCACATCAGCCTGCAAAATCTCCCCCATGTTGGCACAGGGGAATTTGCTCTCTTCTGCTTTTCACTTCTGCTTGACCATGACAGAGTATCTTGTATCTGTCCAGAACAAATCCACACGGTACAGCGTTTGCAGAGGGTCCCTATCCTACAGAACAGCAAAGCATCCCCACGCCTGCCACCAAGCTACCCACAGGCAGCATCCTGAGCTCTCAGCAGTATAAGGCTTTTCTGATCTGGGGAGATGTCACACTGCCCAGACTAAAAAAGTCACAAAACTGCAGGTGAATGGATCTTTAATATTCAAAATCACATTTTTCACCAATCATAACCAAGGGCACATAGAACATATTCAAGGTACATTGCTTGCTAAGCAACACCTGCAAAGGGGCACATAGAGAGCAAAGGGAGGAACAGCACAAATTACAGTTCCATGCCTTCTTCTGAACTCATTTAGCAGGTTCTTCAGAGAGCAGCACCTTGAAATTGCTAGTTGGGTTTCTCCACTAACCCAAGAAAAAAAAATGCCTTCAAAAGACTAAGGCTAGACTTTGAAAGTACCACAGGAAAAATACAGACTACTGATGTGATTCAAGTTTAGCATTTTAATATTTAAATAAAATATATTCTATTTCTAAGAAGCACAAATTTTGTAAAGGCAGCATAAGTTATAGAATAAACTGCAGGAAAGGTTCTTTAACACAACATAATGCAACTGAAGATGATGTCTCTACCTGTGAGGGACACAATGTTTGAAGCAAAGATGTGAGGTAGGTGCCTAAGTGGGAGCTGGAAAATGAAGGCTTTGGGTTGATTTACGAGTTTCAGGCATTAATTCCTTGCTCTCATTTCTTACAGCTAAAGGTTGACCGAACTCTCTTCAAGCTTCTTTTCTTTATATTTGGAAAGTTTACTCTGCACCAGAGAGAAGGCTGACTGTCTGGGAAGCACTTGTATCAGCATGAAGGAATCCTTATAGGTATGTGCTATACATTTTTGCCTTCACAGATGACTTTTCTACAAAAATGCCTAACGAACTAGCTTAGCAGTACCTCAAAAGCAATTTTCAAAGGCATTTTCCTTCTACATTTTGAGAGATTAAAAAAATCTTTCCCACGTCCATCTTGGGACAACAGGGGCATACCCCAAGGCTTAAAACAACTTGGAAGGACTTTAGTGATACTTTAGACAGTTCAAATTGAAAAACAGCAACTACCTAAATATGCTTTGCTGGAAAATAAGACCCCTTTTCTCACTCACACCAAGAATAACTTCGTCAGATGCAATACTGAGAGTGTACCTTTCTGAGACCTGAGTCTAAAAAAAAATAATTATTCTGAGAAAACAAAAAAGAAGACTATAGTTCTTTGCCTGTTAGAAGAAGACAAGTAATTGGTGGTAAAGTGAGAGACCTGGCAACCTGCCTTTCCCCAGCCTTCCTGCTGATGAACTAAGGGATGAGCACAGGCCAACTAGTCATGGATAGTGGTGTACAGATCTAGTGCACCTAGACCAAGTCTGTTCTTGCTATTTACATTATCCACCAAAAAAAAAAATAATTATATATGCAACAGGAGGATTTTGCAACTGAACCCAGGTGACTCTGTCTTGGGAAGATCTCACTGATGTTTTTGCTTTAATTAGGAGCAAGTTTTTGAAGATGCCATGATCTCGTCAAGTACTTACATAGTCGTCCTCATGAAGACCTTGCTTCTGAACAGAACTTTTCACCTCCAATGAAAACTTCTCAAACTCAGGCTTCACGGTCCTTAGCAGAGTGACAGTCTGGAGGTACGAGTACGCTTTCTTGGCTTCAAGGTCATGTTTGTCTCCTCTTCTCCAAGAACCATTTCCTAAAGGGGAAAACAAGCACATTTCCTGCTCCAAACTAGGTACCATTATAGGATTGCCTTCCTTTTTCCACCCAAAAGTCCCCTTTCGTGCACCTTGGGGAGATAGCAGAATACAAGGGAAAACTGAACCTTCTCCAGATGCGAAGAAAACCAGGCAGTGAGGAATAGCTGGTGGGAAGTAAACATGCAAACTGAAGATCAACTATTCCCTTGCTGTATTTGATTATTTTCAAAGGGTGGGGTGAAGCCTGAGTGTGAGAAGACATCTCGGAACAAAACACACAAGCTGGATCTCAAACGCAGAGATATTTAAGTTAGAAGAAGGGAGGGAAGATTCAAGCACCAAGACTTTCTTACACAACACTCCACCAGCAACATTCCTGGACAGTCAGAAAGGCACCAGTAAAGTCAATATGATGAGCATCACCCTGAATGGGAGGCACACGGTGCAGCTCTCCCACTGCAGTCAAGGAAAAAAACCATGTGTGCCGTGGCTGCCATACCAGCCCAGCTTTCAGAGGAAAAGGAACATTTGGAAACAAAATGGAATCCTGCGCCTACGCTGTATTTACACGTGTTTTGTGTCACAGCAAGGGAACAATTTAACTCAGACCACCAGTAAAGAAACCACATTTTTAAAAAGCAGGATAGCTGACTAGTTGTTTATTAGCAGAGGAGTCCTTCTGCAGAACAGACACTGGCCACAGCAGGCCCTGAGACCCTGATCCAAAGCTTCAGGATGTCAGTGGAAAGGTTCACATTGTTCTGGAGCAGGTGAATAATAATTATAGCTAAAATATAAACGATAACTCAAATGTAAATGATAACTTAAAAAGGCTAGAGGGTACAGTGGTAGCCCTAAGCAGTGTGCCTTTAAACGTTTACAAATAATTAAAAGCTAAACAATTTACTGTTTGAACAGCAGCAATAATCCCCATTATGGCTAAATGAGCCAAGGCAAAGACTAATGCTAAACTCCCAAGGGCGATCTGGAAGCACAAGGGAACCTGGAATGAGAGAGGTTTTCCTTGGGTTGAGGACCATGGTGTCATTTGGACCAAGAGAAGTAAGTGATTTGGGAGTGGAGACGTTAAGGAAGATGGAATCCAAGCATCAAAACCATGATGCTCCTCGCACAGCACTACCAGCTGCCTCACATGGCTGCAAGAGCAAAGTCATAGACATACCACCTCTGTCCCCTGAAGCAGGTGAACAGAACTTGCATTTTGTCCTCCCAGCACCCTGGCACTGCTGCTGGGAATTAACTGGAGAATTGCTCTGCTTTCTCAGAAAGCACATGGGAACGAGCAAAGGACCTGCATTTTTCTGGAACTTAAGTCTTTTCTCCTGCAGCTTTTGGTTCCAGGGCAGCTCCTGTCATTCCCAGCACAAGACAGGAAACACAGGAGCACCTAAGCCCCTTTCCTTCTCTTTTCCACACCAGGAAAGCCTTATTTATCACAGCCCAGCACTACTCAGGACATATCAAGAACTTGGATATTTCTTTCCTTTTCTTTTTTTTTTTTAAGTGATTTCATTTTTTTAGGAAGAAGCTCTAGATGCATATGCCTCCATTTAGGGACTTTTTCCCCATACAAAATTTAACCAGCCAAAATAACTTACACCAAAACTCTATTCATCAGACCCAGTGGAAATACAGGAGAGCAACTAACATCCCAGTGTCTGGTTTTGCCACTCTTCCCTTCAGCGCCTGTACCTGTCCTCCTTACTGCTTTCCAAGAGAAAGAAATGCACTTCCAGCAATTGTAAGCTAGCACATCTTGCTGCATTCCCCAAAAGAGAAGTACAAGCCCTGCAGGAGTCTCAAAAAGCTTATGCCCCAGCTGGGTACCAGCATTTTAGAGGTGCAACATTCAAGTAGAGCAGAGACTACAGAAAGGAGGGCTTTGCATTTACAAATGGAGATGGGATGGCTAAAAAGTGTAAGATTATAGATGCAAATACAGAAGGTAGTGTAAGTTTCTGTCCTGGACACTATACCTGTTTCATTTTAAAAATCCTGACACTGAGAGTGGGGACAGCACACTTGCATAAGAGTTTTCCTAGAATAATTTACATATTTAAATTCCTTCATGGATTACTTTGTGGGGGGTCATCTCGTTACAGTTCAATTGTGTACAACTATTGCAGCCTTGGCATTTAATATGCCTGTTCTTCTGAAAAATTAAAAATATTCAGAACAGAGGGCAACAACAAACTGCAATAAAATCATCTAAACATAAAGGCAGTGCCAATTGCCCAATCACTCCCACTCTTAGATTTTATAAAGTACAAAATCTACTATCTCCGCACACTGGGAAGAATGAGCTTTAGGGGAATTTCTCTAGACTTCTCTTATGCTTTCTTTTCATATGCAGTTACCATCTGCATAGAAGTCAACTTCTGATGCACAGTCATTTCCTGGGAAACACATCCACAAACAGAAAAATTGGTTTAAAAGAAATGTCAGGAAATGCCACATTCCAACTACACTACATCAGAAGACAGCCAGTTCTCATTAATCCCTTAGAAAGGCTACAAGAAGATAGGAGTACCTGTGATGCAAAGGAGGGTGGTGCTGAGGCTCCCACAAACTGGGGGGCAAATGGGAATTGCTCCCACCACTGTCCCCCACAGAGGCTGCATGTCAGAATTCCAGCATTGCCCTGTACCTGGCTGGGCAAAGTGCCATCTACCTGGGGCTGCATCACTGGGGACACTCACCCCACATCAGCTGTAATCTCCACATTACTACTTCCCAGGTAGTCACCCTGAGCCCATTTCAGCCAAGGCAAGGAAACCACCAGTTGTAAGGGATCCATCTGAGCCACAGTGGATACCTAAGGATGAAATGAATTGCTGTCCAGAGGTGCCTACTTCTCTCCAAAGACAGCCCAGCTCACACGCAGACTTGCGCACATGGCCAGGTGAATCACTTCTGATGCATTTCTACTCTGAGTCAATGCTGGCAGTCAGAAGAGTTATTTGATCAGTGGTTTCTAGTAAAGTCAAGTCTACGAAACTCCCACAGTCTAACACAAGGGCAAAAACTCCAGGATTTTGTGACTGCTGATATGGGTAGAACTTCAGCTTTTTGCTCTGGTCCTGAATAAAGCTGCAATGCCAAATAGCTTTGTTTGTCCCCAGGGATAAAGTCACTCCAAAGTCACTCAACTGAACAAGCAAACCTTGATTCAAACCCCTGGCTATGATCCTCTTTTGCAACTTTATCTTTTAGTTATTTAAGCAATTTCCTTATTACCTGGCAAAACTTGGCACTCTTTAGCTAACCTAGACACGTAGCAGTATCTGTACTTCTGTACATATCTAGATCTCTGCATTCTAGGAGTTACATACCTTCATTATACAGTGTGTCAAACAGCACTGGTTACGGTGAAATAATCTCAGTGGTGGTAGATGGGTAACAAAAAGTTTATGCAAAAAACCTTAATTTATGATTAACTGATTAATTAAAAAAAATTATCCTTTTTTGAATTTATTTGTTCTTGTTGCTCAGCCTCTGAGACTTAAAGAAAGAAAAAATCCAAAGTTTTCACTTCTCAACTCCCATTTCGTTTTTAATTTGAAATAATTTGTTATTGTAGTGGATTAATTAAAGCAATCTGCAGGGGGGAAATTATTTTTTAAATATTTTTTCTAAAGAAAGCAAAAGAAGGTTCTCTCTTCAAAAGCCGTGTTGACACTTTAATAAGACCTAGTTTCAAGACACTAACTTACCCCAGCTTCAGCCATCTAATGTTTAAACTCAGCAAACATGTTGCTCCAATATTACTGGAAATTTGGGACAGCTGCAGCACCTAAGAGCAGGTATAGTCCCTGCCATGCACTGATGTAACATGCAGTTACACTTGATACTATGGCATACAGACATATTAGGTGTATTTTAAAAAGAAAATGTATTTAATTCACATTTTGAAATCATAGTTTAGTTTGACAAATATGATCCTTTTCACTTAGTGGTGGAGTCAGTCACTTTTATCCACTTTAATAAATCTTGACTGCCTGTGTCCCATCTAGTGCTTTCCCTTCAACATAGCACTGCTGAATATTTTTGCAGATACTGTTTCTGAAAAAATGTGAAATAAATTAGATGTGTGGACACTCCAGCACAGAGATGATTTCTGGAGACCCAAGGCCCGCAGCTGCCCACAGCACTGGCTGTCATTAGTGCCTCCTTCCAGCCATTTGCTTAGACCACAGGTCACCAGGCAGCCAGGAGTACCCCTGCTCCAAGATTTGGCAGTCACAAGTGTGGGGATAGTGCAAGTCACCTAGACCTGAGTACAGTGCTGAGTGGGGTACCCACACCATAACCAATGTCTCTGCCTGGTGCTGATTCCCTGAAAAGTAACAAAAAAAGTAACCCCTGTGCTATGCTGTGACCCACCCAGTATCAACTACAGCCACAAGGTCTGTTTTACTTCCTGCAATGCCACAGCCCAAGAGGAAGATAACCGCAACAACAGGGAGAGACAGTGGTGTTCTCTGGGACTCAGTGCTGCGTATTTTCAGGCTAACAAATCTAGAAATACTACCAAGCTTACAAAGACTTTGTAATACACCTGGGCAAGAAAAACACTACCATATGATGAGCTGTTGAAGAGTTCAATGTTGAAGAAAGCGTAGTCCCCGTTGGTCATTCCTTGCCGATGAGCAGCCAACATGATGTTCCTGATAGTGTCACCGCTGGCACACATGATTACAACTGGTGGAAGAAAATGAGAAACACAGATAAGAAGCAGTTCAAGAACTTCAGGGAACAGCCTGTTAAGCATGAATACTGCCAGAGACAGTGACCTCAGCTGTCCTCCCAGTGTTGCAACAAACATGACAACATAGATAGCAAACAAAGCTGATTTCCCAAACAGCTGAAAAGACAGGTAGCAAACACAGGGAGGCTTCCTCCTCCCTTGTCTCCTCTGAAGAAGATAATTAAATAGAGCCTCTGTGTGATCTAGTTTTGTACCTGTGCAAGATGTGATAAGTTCTGGCTCCAAATTTCTTTAGCTGCATATATTTGTAGAATACACTGCAACCAGAAGCCTCTGGTGTTACTTCTTAGTGAACATAAAACAATCTGAAGATGGAGAATTAAGGTAATACCATGGCACTACCATTTCAATTTCCATTCCATTGAACAGTCTGGCATAGATTCAACCACTTTCACTTCAGATATCTAATATTTAGATATAGAATTTGTTGCTTCTCTGCACTTAAGGAAGATCAGCATCTGTGCACCTGTGCAGCAAGGTCAATGGTATGAATCTTTCCAGAATATGACTTTCTCTCCAGAGACCATACAATAAGTCTAAGCAACAATCTTTGATGGGATGCTTAATATTAAGAAATAGGAAAATTAAGTGCCACTTTCTAAGCATCAAGATTAAAGGTGGGTACAAGATTAAACACCACAGAGTTTCATTTATCACCGACCAAGAGCTAAGCAGGGGCCTTGCTGCTGCAATGGGACCTACAAGCCCACAGGTGTGCTCTGTGTGGGCACCTTGATCCACACTGTGACAACTGTGGTTGACAGGTCTCTCCCCAGACCTGCTGGGCAGGGGACTACTCTCCTTGCTATCCCTTCCTTCTGCAAAGAGAAAGCAGAAACTCAGGTGAGGTCTTCAGCAATAGGGAGACAACTCCCACACAGAGCATGTTACACTATAAACTGCTATGCAAGTTCACAAGACTACAGGTAAGAAGCTACTGACATCACAGGGAGCAGGAAAGTGTTTCATCAGTGTGTACGTTGGGGACATATCCTACAACAGTCATAAGAGATCCAGCTAGGACGATGATTCGAAACCGACTGCGCGCACGTTTCCAAGAACGCCGTCACGCATGGCAGGACTCAAAAGCTACAATAATGTACGCAAATATTTTCAAACCAACAATAAAAATGAATCAAAACCACATTCAGCTCTTCTGGGTAGAAGTGTTTTCTATTATAAGAAATGAAAAGGCCAAACGGGCCAAATCTTTTCGCACACAATGAATCTTCTCCCATTGCTTTTCTGGTTGGATGCCATCTCAGGCATAACCTCCAGATGTGCCGCCGGAGTGAGTCACGTTCAGTACATCCCCGTGCTTCAGGAGAGTTATACCATGCATAGCTCTGTCCTACTGATTATAGCAGAGTAATATAATAATTTCCAGAGCAACAGAGCAAGACATATTTCATGACTATTGTGAAGTATATTAGCATGAAGGAAAAGAGGAAGAAAAAAATTCTTACAATAAAATTTGGACCAAATCTTTTCCAGATGCACATCAGGAATGAATTTGTCTCACTGTTCCTAATTTCAGTATAGGTGAGAGATTTCCTTTTGAAACATTTCCTTGCTGCCCTCTCAATTCTCCCTTGACTTTGCCTTTGTAATTCACATCTATCATAAAATTGTAATCTGTAGATGGAATCAAAGAGATTCCCACAACACCAGTAAAAGACTTTGACCAAAAAGAATAAAAGAAAGAGTGTGTGTGGGGAACTACTTTAAAATACATTAAATCATATTTTGTAAGCCTCTAAAGGAATGCAATGGAAGTAATATTAACTATTTGGATGGGGGTTTTAACCCAGCAGGAGAGCAAAGATTACATATTTCAAGATTTTGAAGCAAATAAACTGCAGACATGCCTCACAAGATCTTCAAAAAACGCAAATTATGTATTTAATCTGCATCTGTACCATACTATTGTGTACATACAAACACGTAAGTGCAAACATACACAAAATGTTCTCCCTCCAGCACAATACACGCAGACCACAGTAATTCTAATACTAGCATGCTGAATTTATTGACTGGGATTATTGACTCGTCCTGCAAATTTTTAGAGTTTATTTCCAGATAAAGGAGTAAGCGTTCCCTTTGCTACACATATCCCATGGACTACATACTTATGCATTTAAGTACAGTCCTGCGTTTGTGACCTGAGCCTACAGCATCAAGTCTGCAGTGCAGCTAATTGAGCCTGTAAGGGAGCTTGAATTACTAATGAAATTAATTGAAGACAAGTGCCTAACTTTTAGTATCATATTTTTCAGGATTTTGTTGTGGCTCTAAGACTTCAGTTTTTTCAAGTGGCTCCAGGGACTGAACAGGCAGTCCCTGGTAAAGAGGGGTGCATGGCTGAGTATACCTCTTCCTCCCAGACCACTGAGAGCTCAGTGCAAACCCCCAGCCAGCAGCAGCCTAATCCATAGGGTCAGCCCCTGTCTCGGGCCCCACAGGACAGCTGCTGGGGCAGTTTCCTTCTCAGCTCTGGGAGAGTTTCAAGTAGGTATCTGCTTGAAAGCCCACTCCCACTCAGGCAGGTCAAGGAAGCCTGACCACTCGAGTGGGACTCTAGCCAGCAGCAATCTCTGGAAACATGACATGGTGCAAGGTCAGAGCCCAACACAGTGTCACAGTAGCTGTGACACAGGAGCTGTCAAAAACTGGGAACCAATCAAACAAAAACATTTCTATAAAGCGCTTTGGACAATGCCCTGTTGGCCACAACGGGGAGTTCCAAGGAGTCCCCAGGAGACATGAAGACCTCATCTGGTCAGCTAAAGCATACAGTGCACCCACACAATGCACAACTTAAAATATTGTGGTAACCTGAAAGGTCCCAAAGGAACGTGCCAAGTGAGTCCTGCAGTCAGTCTTTAAAGTCAGAAAGGCACAAGTGGAAGCTGGAGGGCCCTGCTTGCTGCATTTTGCGGTAGTGGCATGAGCCAGGTGACAAATGGAAGAGGTGAGATGGAGTGACCCCACAGGGCACAAGGGGGGGGGGAAATACTCCTGTTGGGTCATTTGCAAGTTCCAGAATGGTGAAAGACCAAAGGTCTCACCTCAGAAAAACATTTAAGTCACACTGAAAGCAAGCTTCTCTTTCCTGACTGTCAGCATGGTCTGAAGAGCGGGGTTGGAGTAAGCACTTGTCTTTTCCTGCTCTAAGTACACTGCTATGCTCCTATCAGCATCAGGAAAGTTACACACAGAGACACATGACAAGCATCTTTCCCCATACAGCAATTTCTTCAGCACTGACACACTTCTCTCTCTCCATTCATTGTATTTCCCTGAATCATACTTACAAGGAAAGCTCTATTTTAAGCACCTAGTGAATAGAATAGCGAATAGAGAATTAAATAGCCATATGCTGTTAGACCTCAGTTATCTCACACACACACTCCTGCACGTTAAGGATTTCACAGCAGCGCAACATTAGCAGTGCAAGGCTGCTCCATCCACAGCCTACAGCACCAGAACACCAGTTCTGCCAACCACACATCGCGTGATCTTTATCTGTCCAATTCTGATGCCATTTTAACACTCTAAAACAAAGATATGTAACAATTATACAAAGGGCTCTGCACATCTATGACTCTTTTGGAAGATATTGAAGTACTTAATCATGTGGTCCACTCCCAGAATACATCTTTTCTTTTGCAATAACTTGCTGGGGAAGCCTGTGTCTGGTAAAACCCTCTAACAGAAAACATCTTTCTCATAAGCCCATATACCCACACATTGCTTGGCAAGATCTCACTTTAAAATACATCTAAAATACAAAACTGCACGTTTTGAAGCACTTTGTTTTAGTGTTTCATGATGCAAAGTCAGTTCATCCAGCCCAGGGGTGACTGTCCAAGACGTTTTACAAGCCATTTATCTCCACGCTGTTTTGCTAACAGTTGGTGGCAAATAACACAGCACGCGCTCAAGCGATTCCCACGCACCCATCCCCTGAAATGACCCTCTCACCTAAACGCATTTGTTATTTATAAAGTACTCGAAGGGGCGTCCAGTGGCAGGCGTGTGAAAATAGCTCCCGCTACATGACACAGTGGGGTGAGAAGAAAACATCTTTGCTTAGTCTTTGAACTTACAGAGTCATTGCAGAAATGTCACAGAATAAGCAACACATTTGCAAACCTGTAGATTTGGGCAATTTTGAGTAAACCAGACGGTCAGCAGAAAGCAGATTTCCTCCTATGCCACAAAACTCTCCTATCGCGGTCCCCGAGGGCAAGCCGCCCTCTCCGCCGTTGGGAGGCAAACCTCTAATGAACCTCTGCGGGCACAGCTCTCACTCCGGGCTGCTAGTTGTCATCTGCCGGGGGATGCCCGACCCGGGGATGCCGCCACAGCACCGCAGCGAGTTTCCCCAGAGGCGCGGACGGACCATGACTCCCCCCATCCCGCAGGTCCTTCCTCCCCGGGGGTTCCCACTGCCTCAGCCTTAACCGAGGAACCAAGCCGGGCGCTTCGCCGACACTCACTCACCCCTCTCGCCGGTCTGGAGAGCGCGGACGACGTCGTCGAGGTCGAGGTGGCGGCTGGTCTCGTCGAAGCTGTGCACGGCCATGTGGAAGGCTTCCTCCTGGAAGACCACATGGACGCCCTCCATGGCGAAGTAGCAGCTGCGCTCGGGGTTGCTGTCGCTGTAGAGCAGCGTGGCCCGGTTCCACTGGTGGTGGCGGAAGAGGGCCAGCAGCATCTCGCCCATCTTGGCGTAGGCGGGGGCCACGCGGGGTGAAAAGGTGCGATACTCCCGGCTCTGTGGCGCCGAAGCCCGCGGCCAGCCGCGCAGACAGCATCGGCACGTCCCAGTGCGCCGCGCAGCGCGCGCCACGGGCGCGCGCGCGTACTCGCACACGGGCCCCAGCAGCAGGTCGGGCGCGGCGCTGCAGGGCCACCATGTCCACCAGGCTGAACAGGGCGCGGTTGCCGCACGCCGAGTCCTCGTAGGTGAGCTGGAAGGCGTAGCCGGGCGGCAGACCCGCGCCGCTCTCCCGCAGGCTCCGCACCGCGTACTCGATGGCCGGGCGCACCCGCCCCAGCGAGAAAAGGTAGGCGTCGTCCTGCGGCAGCAGCACCAGCACCCGGATCAGCTTCTCCTCCTCCTCCTCCTCCGCGCCCGCGGAGCCGCCGCCCCAGCGCCGCCCGCGCCGCCAGGACGCAGCAGGGCTGCCGAGCAGCCAGGGCGGCATCGCGCCCGCCCCCCCCAGAGGACGCCGAGCTCCGGCAAACTTTTTCGCCCCCCACTTCCCCGCCCGCCTCGAAAATTGTTCGGTCGTGCTTTATTTCTCAGGTGTTTGGAGGACTCACAACCTGGCCCCCCCACCCCTTTCCCCGCCTGCGGGTCACGGACGGAGCATCTCGGCTGTGCTTTTCTCGTTCTCTTAGAGATAGACGACTACTACTATGATTGCTCGCCCCCCGCCGGATCTCCCCGCGGGGCTGCCGGGCTGCGCCCTCCGCGCTTAAGTAGCGCGGAGTGGCGGCGGCGTCTCCGCACACCCAGCGCGGCGCGGCCGGGTTTGTGCGCAGGGAGGAGCCGGACCGGGCGCTCCCTCCCGCCCGCCCCCTCTCTCCGGCGGCCCCCCGCCCTGCACACCTCCGCGGGCGGCGGGGGGGTGTCCTTATCGCACGCATCTGACACTGATGTGTGTGTAATTCGTGTACCTTCCTGCTCGGCTCCCTGCCCCCTCTGCCAAGCGAGTCCCCCGCAACTGGAACCGGGGAGTAAAAGGATCCCGTTGCACTTTCATAGTTTTTTGGGGTTGCTCCAGCCTTCTTAAGCTGCATAAGAAAAGCACTTGAGCCACCCCGAGGGCTCAGGGGTCGGTGCGCCGCAGGGCTGGGGCGTTTGGGGAAGGAGGGGTTGCAGCATCAGCAGCAGGGGTTGCTGATGGGCTCTGAAGCAAGGCACCAGCCTGAAGGGCTCATCAGCAAGGCACAGGCACGGCTGTCCTGCTCCCGTCTCCTCGCCTAGAAAGATGTCCGTGCACGGCATAACCCTATGAGGAAGCTGGCACTGGATATGTGACCCCTGCCTGTGTCCCTCTGGGGTCTTTCAGAGACCCCTGCACCAAGAAGGTCCAGATGCCATTTTTTGTCACTTCCCACAATTTCACGCCCCAAGCAGCAGAGGTTACCTCCAGTGAAGGAGACAAGTCCTGTTCTGAGATTATTTTCTTGTGAAAAAAAAGAACTTTTTGAATTCTTGTGACAACACTGCCAGGTCAGAAGGGCATCCCTGTTCAGCTCTACTCACTGACCATAAAGCTGCTGTGCTTAAGATTTGGTTAGCGTCCATTTAAAATGGGCATGCCTTTTCTGGAATAAAGTAATGTGAAATGTGCAGAATGCTTTGTGAAAGAGGCTTTGGAATACCTGATCCTTTTTGACAGCAAAATCCTGAGGGATGGCTCACTGTGGAGTTTTCTGTGCCCTGTGACAGCACATATCCTCGAAGCCAGGAGCAGGGCTGCAGGTTTGATGTTTTATGGTTATTCAGACAGTGCCAGGTTTGCATTCGAAAGGTGAGCGAACTGCTTCTGGCTTTACAGAAGGGATTTGTTTAGTTCAGCACAGAGGTCGTTGTCAGGGCAGAATGTGTAAACTTAACTTTTGTTGCTGCCTTCACTGTGCAAGCTATGAATGGGAAACCTGCACTCCTGGGATGACCATCTGCTCACCTTTAAGATGCCTCTATTAAATAAAGAAAAGCTGGAAGTGCTTTTGCAATTACAACCGAGAAGTGAAAACAGCAGATAACACGATGTACAGAAATAATCATTGGCATTTATCAAACAAGGCTCGGTAAAATAAAGAAGCTCAGAAATTCAAAGATGGGTTGTGTCTCTGAAAAATGTGCCTCTCATAGTTTTATTTGATTACTGAATCAAACTTCAGAGTGTTCTTGAAGATTACATAAACATCCACCCTGGTGAAGCTGGTTTTGTGTGTTCCTGTGCTGTAAGTTATGTCAGGCATTTTTTGTTGTAAATGACTCCGTATAACATAGCAGAGATTAAGCAGAATGTTACAATATACAACACGCCAGCCATCTTCACCACAAAGCTTACAAAAACATTTTCTTAAGACACATTTTGAAATGCTGACCTTTGTAGTCATTGCTTTATGGTGACCCTACAGATGTGTTTACAACACTGAAATCTGGTCAGATCTCTCTTGATTTCCTCCTTCCCCCACCAGAATATCTTTTTCATTTTACATGTGAGCTCCATACTCTCCTAGCTGTCTTATTTGAGCATAAGCTGTGTAAACACAACGGAAGAGATAGTAAGCCCATAAATCACAGGGCTGCTCTCCCTTCACACGAGCTGCTCCTTGTGAGGTAAAGTACTGCTGGGAATGAAGAAGAGTGGGAGAAGCAGGGCTAGTATGAGGCAAAAAAAAAGAAACAAAAGGCATCTAGCCAGTACTGTGTAGCAGTACTAGCATCAAAGTCCAATTTCAGTGCTTTCATAAAAACATTTGGCCCACAGTATGTGGTCCTTACTTACCTGAGAAATTGCATTCAATGTTAGGAGAGTCACAGTGTTTCTGTGTGCTCAAAATGCCATGAACATTTCTGTTGTTCCACTTTACCCTAAGAGGTTTTAAAAGGACGAATCCCAGCCTGTGATTGATTTATTTTTCTGAGCCAGGAAGTTGTGCATGAGAATTTACTTGTTAATCTCCAATCGAAATGTCACTTAATCTGCCTCATCGTTAGTTCACTTAAAGTATTTTCCATAGTTATAAATTCAACATTTCTCCACAGACATTATTTTTTTCAGCTACATAAATGCTTTTTAATAGGAACAAATCCTGCAGTTGTGGATTTGTAGCAGGCAGAATGCCCATGGATTTCAGTGAGAACAGAGATTTCAGGCTAGTCCTTTAGGACTAAAGTAATTTCAGACATGGGCTATTTTCCCCCCAGAAATAACTTCAGCACAAGTCAAGAATCACTTGACTCACTCCAACTAGTGTTAGAAGCAGCCTGAGCTGCCGATGCACATTTGAATTTTTTTCACAGATGGGTTCACTGAAAACACAGTCCCACCTACAGGCTGAAAAGATGAAATACTTCAATATCATCTGTACTGCAAACACACCCTGCCACTCAGACTTGCAAATTCTTTCCCTGTTTTTCAAGAAATTTATTATCCTTTTATTTTAAGGAATCTATGCTCTTCTTGAACATATCTACGGGATTTGTAAATGCAACATGATGTATCTTGTGTTTCTTCTTGTGTTTTGTGACCCTACCTTCATATACTTAGGTTATGTAAAAATCAACACTGTTTTCAGGTGAAAATACTGCAGCATGAAAACTCAAGATGAGCCAATCTGATGCTAAAAAACAAATAAATGGAAAGGGGACATATTTACTCATTTTCCTTTTAAGTGACACAAACTTCTGTGGAGATATGTACATAAGAACAAGATCACAGAACTACACACAAAACTTGGGCATACACACATATATAGAATAATTGCACTTCACTGTTCTTGCTGTCTTAACAGCTTCCACTTCACAGCACCAAGTGTGGTAAAGACAGGCAGGTGGATGTCATTTTTATTTTACAAATGGGAAAACCAGGAGATGGTAGGATGAAAAGACTGCCCCCCACTCCTTTCTCTTCCATAAATAATTAAAATTAAAGTTCTTGTCATGACAGTTTAAGGAGGAATAATACTTCTTGTCTGCTGCCTGCCACCGCAGACAACATACAACATGGGCAAAAGACAGCTTTATGCACAGCAAATGTTATTTTCATTAGTCATTTGTGTTTTACAGCACATGCATGGCTCCACTGAAGCCTGTGGAAGAACATACCGATCACAACTGGACATCAAAACCTTCAAGATTTTATTTCTAAGATTTTATTTTTATTTCTAAGAAGAAAGATGTAATTGTTTTCACTTTGAACAAAGTATCACCACATTTCCTCTGGTTTTGCAAGTATTTTTAGTCATGAGAGCAATATTGAGAATGCAACTCTTGCATCCTTTTTAACAGTGTAACTTTATAAATAACCTTGGCTCATACTGCCTGTCTGCAAAATTTACTTTCCTCTTCTGCCTATATTACATCACAAAATATTCACTTTGTTTAGGCAACCAATTTCTGTAATTTTGGATAATATCTGGGTATAGAACAGACTGTTATGCTAACTAAATTAAATTAGGAGGATAAATCATCTTGGTTTGGATCCAAGCATTGCTGTGATTTTCACTTGTTTTTCATTTCCATGTCTTAGATAGTTCAGCCTTGGATAGTTACTGCAGTGCACGGGACAATGGCCACCTTGTTCCTCACATACATCTGTCTCCATCAAACAACTATATCATAGTTTGAGATAAATAGCAAGTGGTGAAATACAAATGTCTGCTGTGCCTTACCAACATTATGGCACTTCTGTCCAGTGGACCCAAAAGGCTTTGGAGAGCAAAGAACATTTCTGCTTGAGATTAAGTAACTCTGCAGTAGGTACCCACATTGCTTGTAAAAGAAATGTTAGAAATTGGTGTTCCTCAAAAACAGCTAGGAGCAGACATCCCAGATCCACTGACAACCAAGGAACTGGATTGTTGTTATGTTGTGTGTAAACTCAAAACAGGAACTATCCCAAAGTGCTACTTTCAGATGTATTCCCATATAAATGAAACATTTAAATGAAACATATAAATTCTTACAATATAAAGAAACCAGACATCTATGCTTTGTCTGGATATTCAGCTCTACAGGCAGTGTCAGTTTACATAGTAATATCATCCCAGGAACTGACTGATCTCTAAGAATATTCTGAGGGGAAACATGGGTTATTTTTTAAGCCAGATCAGTTCTTTGATAAGGTTTGCAGTTGTGTTGGCGTGGCAGAGGAAGAGATCTGAAAGGACAGCAGAAAGATGCCAGAGACAAGAGGCAGGAACTCCTTAGAATAGAAATTAGTGCTGAAATCTCTGGCTGTCTTTTCTCTTGCATGTTAGTTGATGATTAAAATATGGGGAATGCATGGAAAAAACATTTTTAATAGTGTTGACAGATCTTATTCCAATTAGCTGATTTAAAAAATATTTTAAATATTTAATTCAATAAAAATATGTGCTTCAGGAGTTCTGTCATTTCCAGTTTATTAAAGCACTAATGCGATTAAAAAAGTGAATGTATGGACTTAGTGGAATACACATT